TCTTGACATCGTCGTTCCTGACCCTATCCAGTCGCGTCCAGCCGCAGGCCCACCTCAGCATCCTCATCTCAGCGGAGTGAAGCTGCCTTTCGTGATTCTTGTTCAGGGGCCAGCACTCGCTGCCGTAGAGCATCGCAGGCCTTACCACTGTTCGGTACACCTTCCCTTTGAGCGCTCTGGAGCACCTTCGGTCGCAGAGGATTCCAGTGGACTCCCTCCATTTCATCCATGCCGCGTTGATCCTCCCCATTACTGCCTGGTCCACACTGCCGTCGGCCGCCAGATCACTTCCAAGGTATCGGAAGTCCTCTACTCTTTCGATGCTTTCACCATGCCCGTCCATGATCGGCTCTGCACCCTCTTCAGAACTCAGGAACTTGGTCTTCTTGACATTTAGCCGTAGTCCGCCATCTGCCAGGACCTTCTGCCATTGCTGCACCTTGGCCTGTAGTTCCTCTCTACTATCCGCTATCAGGGCGATGTCGTCTGCGTAGAGGATGGTCTTTAGCGGTCCTTCCATGAGCCCTCACCAGGACAATCTTGTGTTAGGAGGAAGAGGAACGGGCTCAGAGCTGACCTGCGCCCCAACCGTAGTCATTTCCTTTGTTAGCGTGTGGGGTGGTAACTCCTTCGCCCATCGTACATATCCTTACAGCGAGACCATGTGTTCTGGCACGTTCCGTTCCCTAGCGCTCTCCATAGTACCGCTCGTGGTAGCCGGTCGAACGCCTTCTCCAGGTCGAGGAAGGCTAGGTAGCAGGGTCGGCGCTTTTCTCGATACTTCTCCATCACTTGCCTTGCGATGAAGATGGCATCCGTTGTAGACCTTTCGGGCATGAACCCGAACTGTTCCTGGGAGATGGGGACCAGCTCGCGCAGTCTCGAATCGACCAGTCGCTCGTACAGCTTCATTGTATGAGCAGTCAACTTGATCCCGCGGTAGTTGGAGCAGTCCATCGCGTCACCCTTCTGCTTGAAGATGGGGACGATAGTGCTTGTTCTCCAGGCATCTGGCATCATCCTCCTTCCGCAGTTATGTTGTTGAGGAATCGTGTGAGCCATCCTATCCCGTAGTCACCCAGCGCCTTCCATGCCTCAATTGGCACCCCATCTGGACCAACCGCCTTCCCAATCTTCATCCTCCCAAGTGCACACCTAACCTCATTCTCAGTCCAGAGTGCGATGGGACCAGCTGTGGCTTCTGCCCGTGAGTTGTTCTCTTGGGGGAACTCCTCGTTCAGAAGTGCACTGTAGTACTCTTCCCACCTCCTCTTGACTTCGGCTGGCTTCCTTAGGATGACACCATCTCTGCCTTTCACACTTTTCACCACCCTGATGTCTTGGGTAGCCCGATGCCGGGCTTTGGCCAGTCTGAAGACGAACTTCTCTGCGTTTCTGCTTTCCAACTTCTCGTACAAGGCGTCCATTTCCGTGTTCCGGTCGCCACCTGGTTTATTACGCCTTTAGCGAGCCTCTTGCAACTCCTGTAGGTAGCGAGGTCTTCGGGGCTCCGGGTCTTCTGCCAGCGCTTGTATGCTTCCTTCTTCTGCTTCACGACTCGCTGGACTTCCTCGTTCCAGAACCACGCTGCCTTGTCTCCTCTGATTCCACCTCGGGTCTCGCCCAGTACCTCCTTGGCACATCGCAGGATGGTCTCAGCCGTCTTGCTCCAAGTTCGCTGTATTGGCCCGTTAGGATTGGGAGACCAACTTCCATTATCTTTCGTTTGAGGGCATCTTTCTCTTTGAGAATGCAACTTCCACCACCGGATTCTCCGCTCGGTTCTAACCCTTGTCTTCTTCGGGAGGTCCATGGCAATGTCTGCCAGGAGGGGCCTGTGCTGCGGAGCCAATTCCTCGCCAGGGAGTACCTTGATGTCTTTTACCGATCTCAGGGATGATCTTCTTACGAGCACATGGTCGATTTCCGTATGTCGTCCCCCACTGCTGTAGGTCACCTTCTGAGTCTCCCTTTTCGCGAAGAACGTGCTGCAGATTGCCAGATCGTGGGCCGTAGCCAGGTCCAGGACCCTCTCTCCCTCGGCGTTCCTCACTCCTATCCCTCTACCTCCGTGCACCCTTTCCCGGCCTCTCCTGTCACTGCCGACGTGGCCATTCAGATCACCTGCTACGGTCAGGTAATCGCCTTCCGGAATCGTTCTTATGGCTTCGTCCAGGCTCAGGTAGAACTCGTCTTTCTCACTGTCGGGGCATCCTGTCTGCGGCGCGTACACGGAGAGTATTGTCCAGTACCCCTCTTTCGTGTCTATCCTCACAGCCATGATCCGATCGCTGATCCTGTTCACAGCGGAGACATAGTCCTTGAGCGACTCCGCTACCGCTATGGCCACGCCGTTCCGCTTTTGGTGTCTTCTCCATTGTAGTAGAGCTTGACACCTTCCCCGATTTCCCTGGCCTTAGCGCCTTTCCATCGCGTCTCCTGAAGGCATAGCACCTGGATGTTCCTGCGCGTCATCAGATCAGCAACCTCTCGGGACTTCCCAGTTAGCGATCCTACGTTCAGAGTCCCTATTCGAACTAGCTTCTTTGGCCGAGGCCGTTCACTCCTCGGTAGCCCTCGCATACTGACCACAGAACTCGGGCGGGGGTTCTGCGCGCCACTTCCGGGTGACGTCCTAGCTTTATCACTGATTCTTTTTCGACTTTAGACATGTTTTGTGTGACTGGGGTGTTCATCAGCCGGCCTGTCAACCTGGGCCTGACGCTGGTACTAGAACCATTTTTGCAATTTTTGCAAGGCATGGTTTACAGCCTCGGCAGGGATCGAACTCGCGGTTTTTCGGAGGTGCAGACATGAGTCTAACCTCTTAACCACTCGGCTATCCCTGCCTAACTCAGTGCGTATAACTTAGTAAAAACGGTATAATACGATTGCAGCTTTTAATATCTTTTTACAAGCCCTCGAAGTGTAAAGTATATAAGCAATGAATATGGTAAATCAAGAAAATTGCGAATAAGAACGATTTGAGGGGAAAGCAGTGCGATCAGACCGGAATAATGGCAAAATAAATTCAGGAAAAATCCTGAAGAGACTGCGTAGGTAATCGCGGTCGCGCCCCATGAATCATTACCTACTTCTGCAATCGAGTGGCAAGGGCATCTATATAAGTCCAGAATGAAATTATAAACAAACAGAATATGACACTGCTTACTCACAAATTGCACGCGCGGACCCTCCAGAATTTCCCCGCCCGAGAATCTATAAATGTGTCTTGACTATTAGTACAAAAAACTCAGCAAACTGTTATTTTTTACTGAGTGCAGTTAGACAATCAACAGGGGAGTTAAGTCCATTGTTTACCTATAATAGTTTAAGTTCCGTTAGAGTGTATAAGTTAGAGTGTTAAACATTATTTTTTTTTGCAAAATATAGTGTTTCAAAGTATAAAATACACATACGACACCCAAAATCGCTTGCAAAAGCGTTGCAACTACAATCAATAGAATCTCTAACTACTAGGGTATTTTATATAGGTTACCCAGAAAGTCGGGTAAGGTTAACCAAAGATCCGGCCGTTACCGGCTGCTGTCCGATAGCCATCAAATTTGGCTAAAATTGCCCAAAAAGAGCTGAGAGCAGATTTCGAAAGAAAGGAAATGGTCCAGCCCTAATTGCGCTAAATTGAGGACAAGATATATCCCGCCATCTGGCCGCGATTTCCCTCGCCAAGTCGAGGTGGTGAACCAGCCAAGAGGTCTAGCCAAATGGAAAAATTGCCAGATTCATGAAAGAGTTGAAAGAAGTTATTCTATGCGAGTAGGGAACCCGAAAAGTTCTAGGTGATTATCCTTTTTGGTCGCTGTATAAACAGGCCAAGCGGCGCAGCCGCACCTTCATTGGACACACAACTGTCCATATTTGGCCGTATTTTTCCAGGATTCATCGAGCATCTTTGCGCTTTTAGAGTAGGCTGTAAAGATAGCAGAATGTGGCCGATCGTTGCCGAACGATAAGATAAGAATTGTCTGTTTAAGGTAAACATCATAAGAAGAGCGCAATCGCGGTGGCGCTGGCGCTATGGGGCGGGTTGGACGCGACAAAGGTCAACAGCTGAATCGGCGGCGATGAGCAGAGATCGAATTGCGCAAAGATCTCGAGTGTACATCGAAAATCATTTCAAATATCGGGGACATCAATCGATCACATGAAAATCATCATTGAATTGATGTCTGAAAATAGAACAAAATGATAATTCTTGCCTTCATTTGGAAATACCAACCCTATTCAATGTGGAAGGATGGAAGTAGGGTCACTTCAACTTGATGGCTCTCACTAAAAAAACCCTATTTGCGTTTGCGGATGTTTTTCTCTTCTAGTGAATTTGGTACGGTATTTTTGAAGGGAGTGAGAAAACAACTTTTCGGCTTTTGGAGTTTCTGCGAAATGCAGGTGAATTGGGAGATTTTGGTCCGCTGAGGTAGGATGAACAGAATGAAGGCTGAATGCTGGTCATACGAAGACCCATTCCAGGAGCAGGGGAGGGGCGTTCTTACTGGCCTCAAAAGTCTGTCTCACCGCGATAGTTCGCCCTGAGTGGGAATTTGTGGAGTCAGGGTGAGGTTTGATCTTTTTATCAAGTGAAAGCTGAATGTCACCTACACCCCAGAAAAGTGTTGGTGAGAAAATAAATCATTCACTTTTCTGATTTTTTATGGTAATTTGAAGGCACCTTCCACGGTCTCTGGACGTGTACATTAGAGTTCAATATGAAACTGTAGAATGCTGAAGCCCCAGTCACCTTCTTTTGGGCACTGTACGACCCTCCGACAGATGGAAGTTGAAGCGCGGTGACGAGGGAGCAGACATCGATGAAACGAAAGAACAAAGAGCAGAGTGAAACGCAGACACCAACACCCACACCTACCCACATTCAAACC